ATTTCGTTTATTTCATGGTAACACTTTTTAATTTATACAAAAATATGTATGTGCGTAAACATATAATTGACAAAACCATAAAAACAAAGTAAGAGATACAGTGGCGGTCAAACTAATAGTAGCAAAATTCAAAATGATGCTGTTGTCAACTTATCTTCATTTATTTATGGTTAGTAATCTTTATTTAAAATATGGGTCGATCTATATCAGATAACACATAAATAAAATCTTCAAAGCCTGCGAAAAGTTCACAAAAATTAATTAAACTTAAAAAAATTTTCATAAAAATTTCGATATTTTTAATTAGATATCAGTGCCATGATAAAAGCATAGTAAGGTAAAACCGTTCTCTCAATGCGTCGGCCATGATTTTTTTTTGAAGTTTGCCCACATTTTAAAATCGTATAAAATTGAGAGTAAAAAAAATCTAAAAAATCAATTGTAATTTTTAACGACTTGAAACTTGCACTTTATTGTACTGATCATCAAAAAAATAGGAAGGTAGAACCGCTGAGAGGAATTTTTCAAATTCTTGACGTTTGCAAGCAATTTAATTTTGAAATTTTACACCCAAACTCACACACACATTCTCATTTTCAATCTCAAACAACAACAACTTCGAACAATTCCTTTTTTTTTACTCTCAATTTTATATGATTTTAAAATGTTGGCAAACTTCAAAAAAAAATCATGGCCGACGAATTGAGAGAACGGTTTTACCTTACTATGCTTTTATCATGCGCATGTACATTTAGCGTGCTGCCTTACAATTTGTATTCAATGACTGTTGTTTATAAATTTATAGACAGCTAATTTTTATTACAGTACAATTTTATAGCGTCTTATTGAGTATATGGTGTTGTTTTTAGTTGGATTGTACTCATCCTACACCTGTTGAACGTCGCAACTCTCTGCACTAAACTGAACTTGCATATAATAAACATGCGAAGACTTTTCAAAAATCAGAGCTTGCAGAGTTTTTGTAGTCCAATCACTACAGTCCTTCCAAAGACAAAAGTCTGCTGTAGGACAATTGCTAATTCTGGTAATTAACTTAAAAGCTCTTTCTTTCGAAAGGCTAATCGAAATATCTGTTAAAAGTGAGGTCTTAGCGTTATTAAATTAAATAAAAATATATTTCTCTTTTTAAAACACTACAACTAATGATGAAATTAAAAAAAAAAACATTGAATTAAAAAAACAAAAATTACATAATTTTTTAATAATTAAATGAAATAAAAAAAGTGCTTTTTATTAAATATGGTTTATTCACCTTTCCGAAAACTACCGTTACATTGTAAGCGGGGTGATTTCGCCCTATTTCTCATGATTCAAAATTTCAATGTTGTGGGAAAACGCAATCAAAGTGTGATAAATTCATACAGTAGGTATACCAAAACACCGATGGAAATACACGTATCGCTCATTTACTTTAAAAGCGTCATAATATAACAAAATACAAATTTTGAGTTGAGTATGCAGAAATTACCGCTACTGCTTCTCGTATGTTGCGTAAAAATTTTCTAGCTGTGTCGATTACCAGGGCATGAATCACGTATGACGACAATCGTCTGGACGATATCGTGCAGAGATTGTCTTGTTTCATGAAAACCAAAAATTGTAGATCGTTTGTGCGATATCGTCCACCCAATTCCAGTTTTGCTTCACGTAACAGTAACAGTAACACGTAACAGCAACACAAATGCATGAATCAGTGTTTTGACGACATCGTTTTGTCAGTATCGTTTGAACGACAATCGTTTCAAAGTTACGTGATTGATGTCCAGTATCTCACTAGAACAAAATATGTATTGAAATAGGGCGTTCTTGAAAAGTTTTTTGAGATAGTGCGTTTTCGAACTGGCTGCCGAGATAGGTCGATCTTCAACTCAGCCATCGATATGTAAATTAAAAACTTGAAAGCTGTTTTTCTCGAGTTTTGCTTTTTTGAGTTACATCACTGTTGAAGTAAATGAGGGATATATTCGCTTATTAATTTTATGATACATATTTATGTTACACTAGATCACAAATTTTAGTTTTTTTTTCTGCAACGCCGCTATCCAATTCCTATGTAGAATTGCTCGGCAATTCCGAAAAACGAGTTAATTTTTTTTCTATGAATACGTTTTCGAAATATTTGCAATTTGTCGTTATTCAGCTAAAAAAAAAGAGTGGTCCACAATCGTAATAGAATAAATGAAGGCAATGAAATTCTCCATAAGCCGTATAGATATACACCACATGTCGATAGGGCTGACAGTTTCTGAGAAATTAATTAACAAAAAAATAACACACAAACAGCCGTTATTTTTTTATTTTTCCCCTGTTGAAGATAGAATGGTTTTCGAGATACAGGCAAAAATCGTATTTTTAAGGGAATGTAAATAGAACCAAGCTATATTTTACAATTTATTGTAAACATTCGTTTTCATTTATATTCTGCCTTATCCTGAGTTTCGCCTGAAAAAAATTCACCTGAAGATTTGTCATCCGCCCATAGTAAAACCATAGAAACCATAATTGAAAAGTGAAGCGGTTCGGGGAAAATTAAACTCATGATAAGGCTGTTTAATGTTATACATGAACCGGTTAATTGTCAAAGGGAATAAGTCATAATTTTTTCGATAAGACAATTTTGATGCTGTTTGGTTCGTTTAAAGGAACGGAGCATAAAGTATGTCATATTGAAAAAAATGCTGACTTATTCCTATTGGTAAATAAATAACCGATTCACATATACATACCTACATACACAAGTGAAAATTGGAAAAAAATTGTTTGGGTATACAACATAAATGGGCTCGCCTTCTCACAGATTTCTAGCAGGAGATTTTCGAAGACCCGATATTAGTCATATTAGAAGTGATTTTAAGAATGCACCATGAGAACTTTAGATAGTTTCGGAGTGATATCCAGATGCAGATCCAGAGATATTCTGTATGAAAATTTCATTTGCGTGGATCGAAAACGGAACTTTTTTAAATATATATATTATGAAATTTTCAATTTGTATGGGTGGGGCTCTCAATATATCGAAATTATTTTCAGCATATCATGGCCATCATTGGGAAATCTGCAAGAAGTGAGTAAAAGTTGGTTGTGATCGGTCAAGAATTTAGGACGCGACATACATAGATAAACATTTGTTCGTCAATAAATGTTTATTTTCTTCTACATTTGTTTCATTAAAAAAATTGCGTTGGATTGATAAAAGCACACAAATAGTTTGTCTGGCATATATATTGAAATAACCGATAAAATTTAAATGACGAAGCGCATTTTCATCGCGGTGGCTATGTTAACAAGCACAACTGCAGAATAGAGTTATGATAAGGACTATACATTCATAAAATCTACACACCCATTGTTTTAATTTTCACGTTGGCGAAGAAATTTACAAATAAAAATAAAAATAAAAAACTTTTTAAAAAATTCGTTTTAAAATTTCTCGTTTGACGGGTGCCCCCCGTATCCGCTACTGATGCCGCGAAATAGTGAGAAGTGTAAAATCTCTGAATGCAGTAGAGAGAATTGCAATAATTGAAGGTAGCTGATTTATTAAGGGGCGGTTGTTCAATGTCTGGTTATCACTACTTCCCGGTTAAACATATAACATCGATAAAGTAGTCGTTGCATTTAACCGGAGCTTCTACCTCCGATTTGTGATAATCAGATATTGAACAACCGGCCCTAAGTAAAGGGTAATATTCAATTTACTTATTTTTTGCCCTTTCTTCTTTACAAATTTATCAGAGCTGCCAACTCGGTAACTCGACAAAATATTATTGGGTAAAATAGTCATTTTACAAGAACGAAATACTACGTTACCGAGCTGGGTTAGAAGACCCCCATTGTTTTCAAATAACATGAATATTTTCTCTACTGCCTGTTAACTAATGGCGTCTTCGTTTCTACCAATAAATGTCGCATTTTGATTTCCCTCTCTTTTTGTGTTCGGTTCTAAATTAAAGGCAAACGGTGAAAAAATTGTTTGTTCGCTTCTTAAAATTCCACACTATTGTAAGGCGAAAAATTCACATTCCCTGCCCTTTGAAGCAGGGGGTTGCCCTGAAAATCAGATAGTTGCTTGAAACAACAATATTATGAATTGCGTGAGCTAGACGAGGACAAGAAGGCAAAAACATACTCTTTTATAGGGTTGACTGGGGAAGGGCGACATTTTTTGGAAGAAACGAAATCACCATAATATACACTTTCCTTTTAAGTGATATTCTTCATTAACCTTACAGAGCATGCGATGAATTTCTGCTGCACTTTTCTTCAGATGAAAATAAAAAAAGCAAAGCTTTGGGCGAGTGAGTTTTGCAGGTACATAAGTTGACACAGTCGGAGGTAAAAAAATATGTTGTTGACACTTCGAAGGTGTATAATTGCTTACTGATTTGAATTGCCTAACGATGACCGTTCAACATGAAGATAAATAGTTGCAATATTATCCGACGAAATTCAATACTCTAATGAAAATCCTTTAACATGTACCTGCGCATCCTAGATTTTCACCCATTTTCTTCAGAATTGATTATGCATTTCCATCTTCGGCATGGTGAGATTTAATTTGAACTTTAAAACTTAAACACCGCTTCTGAAAAATAAATGTTTTACACTTTTTAGTACTCATAAATGAGCGATTTCTACAAATATGCTGATGCTCGTAAATTTACTATTCTACTAAAACGTAGACCTCTTACAAAGATTATGTAAAGTTGTTTAATTTAAGATAAGCCCCCTGAATTTTCTATCGTCAAACACAAAGTTGCATTCAGAATTGAAATTTCACTTAATAAATCATTACAGATAAAAAACATAAACATTTGCTTGATAAGAACTTGAATGTTCACCTGCTACCTTACATTATTGAAAGCGTTGAGAGTTGACGTTCGTTTTGCTCTCATGATGAAATTCTCAGAACATACTTAAATAAATTTAAGACATACGAACTGATAGTAGTAGCTATAATCGTATGCAAATGAACAGATTTGAAGGCGCCACAGATAATGTTCAACGAACGACAGCTGAAAAAGTATAAAAACCGCAGCATTACTGTGAATTGGCATCAGTAAGTGCACAACTGTGCTTGTGTTTAAATCGCTTAATATTTAATCAATTTAGAAAATAATAATTAAAAAATGCGTTTGGGAGCAACAGTGCCGAATTTCAAAGCCGAAACCACCAAGGGGCCCATTAGCTTCTACGATTGGCAGGGCAACTCGTAAGTGAGATAGCTTAAGTGAAATTTTATTTTGTTGGTGTTTGTTTGGTACCTGATTTTATTCGCGTGTGATATAATGTAAACAAATGAAATCACTTCACACAAAAATAAGAACAAATTTTAGTCATATTTTAAAATCATAAGGTGTAAGAAAGTAAGCAAATTTCACTTGCTTCTTAGTGATTGTGTGTTAAATCTTAAACATCTCAGTTTATTCATAAAATAACATTATCATATGATTTCGTGGACTAAATAATCCTTGGCTCAGTCGTTTGTTAAGCAATTTTAAGTGCAAGAATAATATTTTAAGCTTTTCAAAGAAACAATTAAATCAGCAAAGACATAGTAAAACTCTTGACATATTTTCAAAGAAATGCGAAGCATTATCGATGGCCCACTGGAATAACAACACAATTCAGCATTAAACAATTAAAAAAGTCCAAGCTCTAAGTTTCAATAATTTTCAACGCTTTGCTTTTGTGTGGCAAGCACAATAATCATACCGAGTTTGGTACCAATTGATTGAGCAGTTACCGTTATATGGGATGTGAGCGTATTGTCCGATTTTAAGAATTTTCAGCCGTTTGGTATGCTGTACCAAGGCCAACAACTGTGCCAACTTTGGTAAAAGTTGTTAAAGCGGTTAAAGAGTTTCTTATACCCGAGCGCACTTGTGCACAAGGGTATATTAATTTTGTTCACATAACGGTTGTTTGTAACAGCCAGAACGAATCGAGATAGATATGGACAAATGTATACATAAATGCTCAGAATGAATAGAGAAGTCGATTAAGCCATGTCTGTCTGTCCGTCCGTCCATGTACACGATAACTCGAGCAAAAATTTTAAAATACCTCAACGAAATTTGGTATGTAGGTTTCCATTTCTCCAAGGTAGGTTGGTATTGAAAATGGGCGAAATCGGACGGTAACCACGCCCACTTCCCATATAACGGTAATTTCCAGAAATACGAAAACTGCGATATTTTGGTAACTACTGAAGATAATTCACTCAAAATTGATATTTACTATAATTTTTAGACGAAAAATTAGAATATTATAAATTTTTGGAAAATGGGCGTAGCAACGCCCACTTATGGTTACATGTGTATATCTTGGTAACCGCTGCCCCAATTTCATCCAAACTTGGCAAAGTTGTTGGCCTTGATACAGCATACTAAATGGCCGAAAATTAAAAAAATCGACAATAACCACGCCCACATCCCATATAACGGTAATTTAGAAAAATACGAAAATCGATAAATCAGTAAATATTAAAGCTAATTTACAGCGTGGCGACGAATAACTGTTACCCAGTTTTTTTTGAGAAATAAAAGGGTCCTTTATAGATTTTGCGAAAAAAGTATGTTATTGTTAATTTTCCACAGATTTTACTTTAGTTGTATTAGTTAGTTTTTAAATTTTAATCCTTATCTACATTTGCCAGCAGTGTAAACTTCGAGAGAAAAGTTCATTTGGCACGCAAGTCTTTTTCAGGTGTATTTTTTCTTAAGCTTTGTATAAAAAAAGTACAAAAAAGAAAAAAACTGTATAAGGTTGGTCGAATGAATGGCCGTCCTAGTCACCAGTCCCGAGTCTATTAGATTTTTGAGTATGAGGCCTTATTTTGGACAGAAGGGGGAGTATAAGGGACTCAAAATGGAGAAAATTAGCCTATGGTTACAGAAGATATGGAACAAATTAACTGACGAGGCCTGCGTGCCAAATGAACTTTTCTCTCAAAGTTTACACTGCTGGCAAATGTAAATAAGGATTAAAATTTAAAAACTAATTAATACAACTAAAGTAAAATCTGTGGAAAATTAACAATAACATACTTTTTTCGCAAAATCTATAAAGGACTCTTCTATTTCTCAAAAAAACCTGGGTAACAGTTATTCGTCGCCACGCTGTATTTAAAATTGATGTTTGCAACAATTCTTTACCAAGAAATACGTTTATGATAAAATTTTGGAAAATGGGCGTGGCATCGCCCGCTTATGATCACATATACATATGTATCTCGGTAACAGTTATACCAATTTGTACCACACTCGGTACGGTTATTGTGCTTGCCACATAAAAGCAAAACGTTCAAAATTATTGAAATCGGACTAAAATTACGGTTCTTCATATAACGGTAAATTTCAGAAATGCTTGATCCTTCAATATTCGCAATTTAACTTACTTGCGCCGGGTATTTAATGTTCGGCTCAGCCCGAACGTAGACTTTCTTACTTGTTTTATATGAGAATTGAAGTCGGTTTTGTTTTTTGCTTAAAAATTACTTGTTCGTTTTTGCTATATTAAATTGTTTATAAAAAATGTAGCGAAACATATTTGCTCATTGAAATTTTTAATTTTTACGAGCGCTAACTGAGAAATGAGGATAGAAAGGCTGAAATCGTGTCACAATTTTTGTTTCTGAGACCTACATATGTACAACGAAATTTTCATTAAGGACAGAAAGAGGTTGTCGTTTTATTTGACGCAGTCTAATGTACATACACACACACTCACTCCGCCGTACTTAAATAATATTTACTAACGTAAGATTTATTTTAATTTTTTAATGCAATGCAAATATCAAATTCCACATTCCAACCCACAACGAGCACAAAAATACATAAAAATTATACATAGCCATAAAGTATTACAAATAAATATATTTTAGTCGCGTACAAGTATATTAATGACAGCCTCTATGCATTTCAAGATATGACAATCTCAAACAGAGTCAGATATGAAAAATAAACTATTATTGTATGTAGGATCTTACATGATATAATATACATATCGTCGATTAAAAAACAAAACCGCGTATCGTCAGTCTGCAAAACCGCGTAACTGACATTGGCTGCCAAAAATTGGGTTTCCTCACACAAGCTCCTGGCTCAATCCCTATCCATTCGTCCTGAAATATACTAGCCAGAAATGCGATTGCTTTATAAAAAAGAGAAACATTTTGAAATATTAGTGATTTTACCCTCTAGAAAATAATTTATGCAACCTCACATAAGCGGTTTTGCACTTTGTTGATGCGCGGTTTTGCATTTTGTTGATACGCGGTTTTTCACTTTAAACGACGATATATACTTACATACGTACATTCGTATGCATATTAATGTTTATAGATTGATAGACAGCTCTGACACTGTTTTAATTACAATACTTTTTATAGCGCTTTATAAAGTAGTTGCATTAATAGTTTTTGAATAATTTTATAGTTGGGTTGTACTGTTCTCGCATCCGTCGGACTTCACACCCGTCTGTACCACTGAACTGGGTCGCATCGCTGTCCATCAGCCGGAGTTCGCTAAGCGTAATGCCAAGTGTTTGGCCCATTCAGTGGATGATCTGAAGTCACATGTTGACTGGGTAAACGACATCAAGTCCTATTGTCTGGATATTCCCGGTGAATTCCCGTACCCCATAATTGCCGATCCTCATCGTGATTTGGCTGTACTCTTTGGCATGTTGGATGAGGAGCAGAAGCGAGATGCAGAAATTGGCAAAACCATACGCGCACTCTACATCATCAGCCCCGATCATAAAGTGCGTTTGTCGATGTTCTATCCCATGTCCATGGGCCGTAATGTTGAGTAAGTTAGCGGGAAGCTATAAATATTGCAACGCGCGTATCTCATTACAATTTGTTAATATTCCAGTGAGATTTTGCGTTGTCTCGACTCATTGCAATTGACTGACAAGCTGAAGGTGGTGGCCACACCCGCTAACTGGACGGTGAGTTTTGTTTTTGTCTTCGAGTTTATTTGTTGATTTATAATTTGTATTCCTGTATCTATTTCTCAATACAGCCTGGTACGAAAGTTATGATTCTACCCGATGTGACCGACGAGGAGGCAAATAGACTATTCCCAAAAGGCTTCGACAAGGTTTCAATGCCGTCCGGTGTCAATTATGTCAGAACCACAGAAAATTATTAGATTTTAATGCTGCAAAATTATCAAAATCAAAATCAAAGCAAAAATAATTACAATTTGATTCTGTTCGAATTGAGTTGGTGCCCTTATCTGTATGTTTTAAGTATGTGCTGATCATTTTAAAAATGATTTTGTGCTTGATTTTTAGATTATTGTTATTTTTAAGTGAAAAAAAAAACAAAAAATAAATTTTGAGTGCAATTCAATTTTTGACTTTTGAATATGTAGATATGTAGGTACATGCAGTTCTTAAAGGCGGATTTACGGTTCTAGTTGAGAACTTTTTTCTAATTTACTTATCCTCTTTCACGAAGAGAATGATCTTAAGATAGATTCATCTTGCTGTCAAAATGATCACGCCATAGCCAACATTAATGAAATTTAATTCGTAAATGGAAATTTGAAGTTCCCACTGGGAAAATAGGTAAGCACCTTCCGAGGTAAGCCATGTTTTCTTTCAGTTTTTAGTACCAAAATTGTCATCATGGCTAATGTCATCTACTAGTAAAGGGTAAAATGAACACCTCCGAAGACACATTACGTTGTCAGTTGCAAAATAACGTGCAGCCGAAGTTATTTCCAAGCACCGAACTACTCCGAGCGACTGCTCTGCATTACACGTAACTTACTTTGTATAGCGGCTCAGAAGTATGTCTGATACCAAATGTACATTCTAAATTCCTACTTACATAAGGCGGCCATGCCTTTGTAAAAGTAAGGGACGTTCGGCAGGGAAATGGTAATGACTGCCAGGTGAAGAGTAAGTTGCTAATAAGGTATTATTACGTGCTCCTAATTCCCACTGGGTTTAAATGTTTTACACGTATTTTTTCTATGTTGTTGTTTTCTGTAACCATTTTTAAAAAATTTAAAAATTTTTAGAACTAAATCTCATTCTTTAAGTGCTCTGTGAAGCGAAAAAATTTAAAATTAAATTATATTAAAATCATGTATGGCAATAATGCCAAAAAAATCCAACGAAGAATCGCTCTTCCCAACAAGTCGCACACCGTCTTCAAAAGAGTCGCAACTCAAAATTTTGAATTTTTGAGATTATGCGCTAAAAATGTACACGGAGTTTCTATTTACCTTTCAGCAAAAGCTGGAGCAAAGTTTTGTTATAATTTGTTAAAAAACTTAAGGTAAAGTCGCCCTTGCCCATATGATTATCATGTGCTAAGAAATATTTTTTCGCATTTTCTGACGAACGTATTATTTTGAGTTGTGACTCTTTTGAAGACGGTGTGCGAAGTGCAGCTTTGGACTGAGTAGGCCATTCAGAAGTAAAGTCCTCTCTTAGCAAATCAAAGTCAATCTTTATAAGTCTCTCGTGATCCTCCTTCTGTTTAGACGATGGAAACATCTGTGAGTGATCGAGAGAAAGATTCTGCGGAAGATTTACGGGCCTTTGCGCGTTGGCGACGGTGAGTGCCCGGAACGATAGAAACTCAGCTGTTGTATGAGAATTACAACGACACGCACATAGTTCAGTGAATCAAAATACAGCGGCTGCACTGGCTAGGCCATGTCGGACGAATAGATGAAAATGTTAACACTTTTTAACTTAAAAGTAATACAGAGGTACTTAATACGAAGAAAAGGATATAGAAATAGAAATAGTAATCTGGCGATCCCCATAGAAGTCAGACGTGGCAAGTTGAGTTCCATTAATTTCTGAAATAATCCATTGTCTTACACAGTTGTATTCTTTTATTTCCCGCTCTACAGAAAATCAGCCCTAGCTCTACCCTGAAATTGTCACTGGTTCAGGATTATTTATAGTCAACATGCAGAAGCCATATATGTATGTAGATTCCACTGAAATATTGAAGAATTGCCCTTTTAAAGCTGCTCCCATTCAGTCCAGTTTTGACACTTTCCGCTATCGAGTTCTACAGTTTTACAAGGACAGAAAAAATAATAAAATTAGTTTCGCAAAATAAAATGAAATTAAAAAAAATATTTATTTCAATAGTGTTATTGAACTTTGAACCACCGATTTGTTTGTTCGGAAAAATGCAAAAAACAACAAAGCTTAAATCAAATTAGTATGAGACCGATAAAAAAAAGAATTATCGAAAACAGTTCACGGGTCCAAAATCTTGCGGTACGAAAAATAAAAACAAAAAAAAATACACGGAGAGAAGTTGTTTACTTGAAGTTGGATAAATGTCATGGTACAATAATTACAGGTATTGTCTTCCCAGAGAGCGCATATTCCGATCTGGCTTATTTGAAAAACATCATTGTTGACCACACTAAAAGGTTTACTGCTAGGGAAAAGGGATATCCTTATACCCCATATACCATATATGTACACGTATTTTTTTAACCAAACCTTCTTGCAGAGGACATTTAATTTGAAATAGCCAGAAAAAAAATTTGCTTAGTAAATAGATCAAAATTTGTATGCCCCACTTCATTTCAAATGTTTTTTCTTTTGTGTTGAAAAATTATAAAAATGAAATTGGGCGAAAACAAAAAGTAAAACCAAATACAATTAAAAGACTCAACATGAACTGCGTAAAAATGCAAAGAAGGGAGCACGAATTTCGATGTGAAGCAAAACTCTCTCCAAGACCAAAAAAATGGAATTTTGTCTGGACAAAGTTTATAGATGTCAATCGATAACTACATATTTTGTCTTGCGTCCAACAAAATATTGGACTAATTGGTTCATTCCATTTCAAGATATATGCGGCTTTCCAGCTACAATTTCAAATTTTCTTTTTTTTCGAAGAAACCATACCTTCCAGAAATCCTTCATAATTGTAGCACACGATTAAAAAAATTGCAAATCTATACGAAAATTTGGTACAGCTTATGTTCTGTAAGCCTTCCAAAAAAAACAACGTAAAAATATATTAGGAACGGTCCAAAGTTAAATTACAAATTGTGCCCTTTTTTCAAGCGTTCGAAAGTTCGCGATAATTTTTGAGAATTGTTTATACATTTGAAATTTCACACATTATTGTACAAAAACTGAATGGACTATAAAACTGCATAACTGATTTTTTTTCGAAATTCGTGTTAAAAAGTTTTCTTTGCAGATTTTTCATAACTTTCCTACACAACTTCATATTTGGATTTAAATTGGATTTGCAAAATATAAGCCTTATTTCAATACAAAACAAAAATAAAAAAATTTAGCATATAAAACATTGCGAATATTAACAAACTAACTTTTTACTACTGCCATGTGGACACGATCATTTTGATGCTACGGAAATGTTATCGGTGTTATTATTTAACCAAAAATAGGTTTCAAGCATGGGTGTAGCCAGGTAGGGGCAGGGGAGTGCTTGACTAAACTACGGTGTATTGCAACGTGTTGTGCATAGGGATGAAACGATACCTTACTGGTTATGATACCTTTACTTGGAAGTAAGTAGTATCGTAAGAAAGTATCGATACCCGAAAAATATCGGTTCTAAAGTATCGATACCTACTCGTATCAGTACTTTTAGCTATGAAGGTATTCCATATGAACTGGATTCCATTCAATTTTTTTAAAGAAATAAATTAATCATCCTCGGCGAATCCTAAACTCCGAACAATAAAAATTAACACCCATATTCATAAAAAATAAAGAAGACTTTAACTATTTTATAAAATAAAAATTTGTAGGGAAATGCCACTTTATAGAGCTCCTTAAGTCTACTTTATTTTTTATGAATAATGCCATAATAATGTAGGAACTGAAAGTAAATAAAACAACATAACATAGCGAAACTATATGTTTAATGATGTATAGTATTTAACAGAGATAATAGCTTGGAAAAGTTTACATGAAGTTAATCTCGGTTAACCTTAGAACCGTGAGTTGCGCACTCAGTGCCCATATTCATGTTTGATGTTGAATTTCGGGTGTTTGGGAAGTCCAATTTGATTTTTGATCATTGGCAGATATATTGTAATAGAAAGCTTAAATTTCCATACGAAATTACTGTGCTGGGCTACGTTGAACATTTTAGTTGTTTCTGAGATAACTATTATTTTTTTGTCATCCACGCTTTGCAGCCTACTTTTTTCAATAACAGAGCTAGTCGCCACCACCTTTAATATTGTCCGATAATGTTTTCAGCGCAGAGAATAATAGAGTTACTCTGTACGTTGGGGCGTGTATACGCCGTACAGTGTTCTATTTTAGAAAAAAAGGACAAAATCAAACCAGAAGAGATAACGAAATAAATGTAACGGTGTTTCAAAGCTTTTGGGATGGGAATACAGAAAAAATAGTATCGTTTGGTACAATAATTATATCGACCTTTAAAATTACACTCAAAAATAGATTATTTAAATTGTTTCCTTTTTTGGCGTGAAACCAGTATGCAAGGAAGTTTTTAAAAAGATTTAAACCCATATTTTTGCTGTTCGTACATCAAGGAATCCATTTCCTTTGTCGCAAGAATCAAAAAAGCATTTCATTTTAAATTGTTTTTAAAAAGTTTATTACAAGCTGTTTTTATATAAGTAAAAAAAGAAAAAAAAAAAGAAATATTTTACTTTTAAAAGTAATTTTAAAGGTCTGATTAAATGAAAAGTTACTTTAACTTCATGACCGACCTTCAAAAGGAAAATCTTTACGTACACTCTAAAAAGTGCATGTAAAAATACTACTGAAAAGTGTTTATTTTTCAACCAGAATCTGTTCAAGTATACGCACAAGATGTTCAAGATTCGATTTTGAACATGAGTTGTTTAAAATATACACATAAATATACGCATTAAATGTTTAAAATCAGGGTACGAAAATAAACTGTACAAAACAATTCCCATTTGCTCATCGATCATCATATCCTTTGTGGTTTTGTACAGTTTTGTAAATAGTCAGAAACAAATTGTAAGATTCACTGTCATTTTCCCCAACGAGAAACGTTTGCTTTTCGTTTGTGACAATTGTACCATAGGGTACGTTTTATATGTATGCAAACGTTTCAATTACGTGAAAAATAATTTTTTCTGTAAATTTTCATATCCAATTCAATTAAAAAACATTTTTATTTTTTTTATTCATTGCAGCCATTCGTTTTGTATTTGTTTATTGCATATATGTGCATACATAAATATATTTTCCCTGCACGATTCATTTCGTTTGTTGTTTCGTCTGTAACTACTAAACTACTTTAGTGTACTATCGCCAAAGTGAACTCAGCCGTTTTGTTTCGTATTGTACCGAACTGTTAAAGTAATAAACGAAACGAAATAG